CCACACACTAAGCGATCCTTTAACATTTCCCGAAGAGCTGACCTGTGCTTACGGTGTTCCAACAAGTTCCCCAGTTTTATCAAGAATTCAGTAACTGGTTCTCCAGGAAGTCTATTAGCTGTGTTAAACCTGTAATGCTGAATATCATAGATGGTTTGCATCACAGTGGTCCGCTACAATACCAATCAGTTCATCAAAGGATTTTGACTGCAGGGCTGCCCGGAAGGTTGAACTCTGTATGATGCTGCAAGTCAGGCCTCCACAGGTGGTCAGGAGCATGTCATTTTGTCAGAGATCTCCTTCTATCCTATTTGCCTGAAAAATATATCTCAACCTTTCAGCACACTGGGACCAATCCTCCACTTTGTTTATTGCTGAATACCAAAACAGAGCCACTACTCGTGGTGGACACAGACTAGTCCCGTCTATATTCATCCCTCAGTCTGCTTTTCCGTTAAAGCAATTGAACACAGTTTATTTATAACTTAATACAAGACTATTGTAATTCCATAATAAATTTATGTACAAGTGTATTGTTAAATTGAACGTGAGGGTATTAAAATAAATTTACTTAATTCTTAGCAATATGTTAAAGGACATTACATGACTGTTCCACTTTTTCACAGACAATTCATCTTTACAAATAAAACAGACTATTTCCCAGCATTTAAAGGTATGGAATTGAAGATCCTCCAAACGTTTCATTCAGGTATACAGGTGGATTTGATGCAGAAATTAAAAGGTATAGACATTTTATTGAGGATTACAGGTCAATGCAATGAAAGGGGGCTCCAGACAACACACCACAACTTCCACTCAGGCCAGGCAACAACGCTAATCTTAGTTCCAGGCTTCACTCTGGACTCTCGGCCTACCTCTTCAAGTTTCTCCTCCTCCTCCAGGTAGTTCATTTATTGCAGTTGGAAAGAAAGGTCATTTATTGTTGAACTTTAAAACAGATCCACTACTCGTACTAGTCCCAGCCCAGGATAGACAGTTTATTTTTTTCCTCTAATCAACCTGTTCAGAGATGTTACCACACAACTCTAGAGCAGGTGGGACTAAACTGGGACCTCCTGGCCCAGGAGAAGGTCCACTGCGCCACAAGAGGGCCCCTGGATCTGCTTTCACTTTATTTAACCTATATAGTTTATTCCTAATCAACCTGTTCAGGGATGTTACTACCCACCTGTGGAGCAGGTGAGACTTGAACTCAGGTCTCTCGGTTCAGGGGTACGGACACTACCACTGAACCACAAGAGGGCCCCCTGGGTCTGCTTTACAAATGGCTCAGGTGAGGAGTTCCAGCTGGGCAGGCTAATGCCTGTTACCAAGGGAATTCATATTCAACAAAGCTCCACAAGGAAATTACTGAATGATTCCCTGTGGGCCTTGTAGGGGTTATCACATTTGGTATCTCGTTTACACATAGCCCAATTTTACAGTCCAATGATTTCAAGCATGCAAAATCATTTGGGCATAAAAGAGGTCAAGTAATCCTACCAGATTCTTGCTGGATGAGACAGGTTAGTTTTGCCAACAGTCTCTTTCACTCCCCTCGAGCCAACCTACTACTTGGTATTTACTTTTGAAGCAGCTGCAACTCCAGAGATGTGTGAAATTTTCTGTACAACAATGGTTATTATAGTAAGCATGATTCATCCAAAACTCAGGTGGTGAAGACCATCAAAAGTAAATCCTAAAATCATAGCATGGTTATAGCACTGGAGGCCATTTGGAATGCTATATCTGTGCTGGCTTTCTGAAAGCAATTTATCAAATGCACCCATCCACTTTTCCCCACAGTCCTGCACATTCTTGCGTTTCAGAAAATAGTCCAGTCCCCTTGTGAATGCTTTGTTTGAATCTGCCTCCACCACACTCAGGCAGTGTATTCCAGATCCTAACCATTTGTTGCATGAAAAAGTTATTTCTCACATCATCATTGCTTCTTTTGCCAAATATCTTAAAATCTGTGCCCTATGGTTCTTGATCCTTTCCCCTTCTCCTCATCTCCTCTGTTCGAACCCATCATGATCTTGAACTTTATGCGAATTCCTCTGAATCTTCTATTTGCCTAAAAGACAGTCCCCAATCTTTTGACATAACATGCCATTTCACCACTGGAACAATTCACAAATCTTCCTTCACCTCTGCTAATGCCTGCACATGCTTCCTGAGATGCAGTGCCCTAATGAGACAGAATAATCCAGTTGAGGCTAAACCAGTGTTTTATACAAGAATAACATAATTTGCTTACCTTTCGATTCTGGCCAATTCTTTCTTTAGGTTCCTTTGCTCTGGGGACTTGTTGACCTTCTCCAAGGATATGGTGACGAATTCTTCCAAGCTTGGACAGCATTTCAACCAATGATTAACCTGTAAGTTCTTGCTGTGCTCTAGATAAGCTGCTCGACTCCATATAGAAACCATCACTGATAGAAGAGCCAAACCATAGAAAACTGTAGCCTCTGGGTGCACCTCATGCCCTCCCGTCGTTACTCACATTAAACAAATAATACATGACAATATGGACTATCAAGGCTCCAACATTACTTCAATTTTAATACCTACATGCTCATGCACATCATTAAAAGCTGAAAAGGAGAAATGGGGCAACAGAAAATTACAATACCCAAAGAAATATGAGTAGGCCATATAGCTCTTTGAGTTGGCTCTGCCATTCACCAAAGCTTCAACTCTACTTTCCTACCTGTTCCACATATTTCTCAATGTTGGATGATCAAGAATCAATCTGCCTCTCTCAACTTTGAATATATTCAACAGCAAAGCATTCACAACCCTCCAAAGATTCAGAATTCTCTGAAGAAATTTCTCATCATAGTCCTAAATGAATGGCCCCTTACCATGAGATACTGTCTCCATCTTCTTGATACCCATCCAGGACAAACAACCTTCTAGTGTTTAACCTGTGATGCTGCTTCAGAATATTTCAATACCAGAATGTTTCCAACACCAACTTCAGAGAGTACAGACCCAAGCTTTTCAACTTCTCGCTGGCCAACTTTCTCATCCTAGTGGCTAATCTACTGAATCTTGGGTGCATTGCTGCTGTATCCTTCCTTAATGTGGAGATCAAAACTATGAACAATATTTCAGATGCGAATTCACCAAACCCTTGTACAATTGTAGCAATACTTGCTTATTGATGTACCAAAATCTCCTTCTAATGAAGGCAAACATGCTGTTTGCTTTCCTAGAAGTGAAATGGGAATTAAACTCATTGGAAAGCTCTTTCAAAGAGGCACCAAAGCCATGATGGGCTGAATGGTCTTCTTTAGTGCTGCACAGTTCTATAATTTCATCAGCTGCACTTCCAGAGTTCACTATAAAGTTAGGAAAAAAATGAGATGCTTTCGGTGCATTCACACCACCACAGGGCACTTAATCCGTAATCCAACTGATTGCTGCTAACATCAATAGTAGCCTGCAGTAACCAAATATTCTACTTGAAAACTATGCAGACAAGAGCAAAAGTTAACATTCCCATTCTCCCCTTTTCTTGTGACCATCTGGACTTGCAGCACAAATCTCCAGTATGCAAGAGTGTAGGTTAGCATTTGTAATGTCATTATCAATCCCTACAAATTTACTGGCAGTACCGTAGCTACCTTGTTTTAAGGCTGCCCTGTCACCATCAGGGTAGTAATAACTGCAAACCGAGTGGTTTCATAATATTCACGGCTTCCTTCAATAAAAACAAAACCAAATCAGTCGCAGCATTATTCTAGTGAAATGATACATTGGCATTTGAATTGATAAGCCACAACACTAAGGCAAAATATGCTTCACAGGTGCTCAACATTCAAGACACAAATGCATAAAGGGAACTGAAAGCCTATCTTAGCTTCAGCAGTTTGTCAGCCCGACCACTGGCAGTAAATCTGCATTATGACCTTTGAAAATCCATATGGCCAGATAACGTGTTGACATGAAACAAAGAAATCAGCAATCCAAAATTAAATTAGAACAACCAAACTTTATTATTTTCAAACAAAAATATTTTATAATATGTTTCTTGAGATAATTAAGATAATTCTTGACAAGACATTAAGTTTTCTCCTACTTGCTTATTCTCAATGCCTTTACATCCAATGGCCGATCCTGCCTGATCTTAGGTTTCCACTGGCTGGACAGTGCAAGAAAGTTCAGTTTTTCCCTAAGGTATATCACCTGTAAACATGGACAGTCAGCATTTTCAGCATAAATCTGGCAAATATTTGCACTGGTCCAGTATTTGCTGATTATTCAAATGTTCACTGGTGACATTGATGGTATTTTCCAGATTGGCTTGGAGCACAGTTTCAGGTTTCACTTCAGATCCTCATCCTCCTGCCTCATTCGTTTCAGAAGATGCTCACCAATGACAGCAAGAGGATTGGCCTTAAATTCAGTATCCTCAATTGTAGTTTTGAATCTGGCTACCTCCTCCTCTCTGAAATGCAAGAACAAGTACATGATCAGCATAGAGGCAGAGGGAGCAGCTAAAGTGCATTAGCTTAATAGCAAACCACACAGGAATTCATCAGCTACCATTCACAAGCACCACAACTCGTAAGAAAGTACAACCCAGAAATGGAAAACAAACTGATGCACAGCAGAATGACATCTCACCGCAATTCTGTTCATTTTATAATCCCATTTCATCAGCTCTGATTGCAAGTGAGATTTGGAAACAACCAACACATTTGTTAATGTAATTCTAAAAACCACAAACGCTCTTTGTATTTATAATGAACAAACCTCTAGCCTAGGCATCATAAATTTCTCATACATTAAGTTTGAGGAAATAAGTCTCTGCATTATGTGGTTTACACTGATCATCATTAATTTGCTATGCACCTGCAGCAGACAGACTAAACGCTCTTCACTATCAATGAAGGCAAAGTCATGGGATGTTTTTCAGGTTGGGTTTGATGACAATTGATTGGTATTTAACACCAGCATGCCTTCTGTCACATTTCTATAGTAGTCAATCTGCAGACCAAACATTGTCCAGCTGTCATGACCACTGCATTTTTGTTGTCAAACCAATTCACTCCAACTTGTTGATGTGCTGTTAATTTTGGGTTGCATCATCTTTTGAAGATGCAGATGTGACACTTAACTGTACCACTAATATGTTTATTGTCCACTAATCTAATTACTTTCAGAAAGGTGACAAGGAGTGGCTCAGTGGCATTTGAGTAAGATGTTTGAGAGATCTAGTACCAGATCTTTGAGCATATGATCCAGGGCTCAATCAGGGGTTGACAACCTTTTTTTAAAAACGTGTGCCTTAATTAAAAGTGAGGGCTGCAAAATAAAAAAAAAAGACATTTATAAATGACATTTATAAGTACTTGAATTGCCACACCTCTGCAGCAGAATGCATAATTTGCACATATTACAAATAAAGAACATCTATTGAATTTAAAGAACCGCGAAAATATTACAGGATAAAAAGAAGCTATCCAGCCCATCATGTCTGTGCAAGCTGATTTTAAAAACAAATTCCATTGTGTAGAAATTAGTTGTGCTTCAGCTGCAGGACCAGGTATCGTTTAAATGAATCGAAGGTTCATGTCTCCACTTTTGAACTGGGCAGGAAATTCCAGACACACCACCCTTTGGGTGAAAAATATTTATCTCCATGCTCCCTCTAATCTTTCTATCTATCCTGTCCACTCGTTCCAAGCCCTCAATATTTTGTGTATCTTGATTAAGTCTATGACTCTACGTCATCTGTCAGTCTCTTCAGGTCAAAGGAAACCCACCCAGGCCTGTACAATCTTGGCGCAACCTGAAATTTTCAAGTCTTGTCGGTATTCTAGTGAAGAGTACTACCTCCTTTGTGAAGATGGGCGGTGCAGTCATTCAACTTAGGAGTGTGAAATATTAGATACAATTATTATGATGCGAGAGCATATACTGGAGGTACTGCCATCCTTGAAGGTGGATAAATCATCAGTGCCAGATGAATTGTATCCTTGGCTGCTAGAGGAAGTAGCGGATGCTCCGAGTATCATTTTCCAATCCTCACCAGATACAGGCAAGATGCTGGAGGATTGAAGGTCTACAAAGAATGTACGATTATTCACAAATGGTGCAAGGGTTAGGCTAAACAACTGTAGGCTGGCCAATCTGACTTCATTGGTAGTCAAATTATAAGAATCAATTCCCCTGCTCACCACTTCTCTGCCCAAAGCGCTGTTGAGAGTGGGGACTGAGGAGAGGGGTGGCAAGATGGAGGAAACAACCAAACGGAGTGCAAGTGGGAGGCTTGAGAGTGAAGTGGAGAGTGGAAATGATTCAGTAGGGAAGGCAACAAGTGGGAATGTATTTTGTGGAGTGAACTGTGCTGGTTTCAGTGAGAACATACTAACACACAAATCAAGACGAGGCAATTTAGCCCCTTCAATCATCTTTACGATTTGATAAAGTCTGTTTGGGACTTCAACTTTACCTTTTGTATCCTCTCTTCATAACCCTTAGCTTCTCAATTGACAATCAATCTTGGCAGGCAACCAATACAGGGAGATTTGAAACCATCAATACAAACATAAAAAGTGAGGAATTTAGCGCAGATGCTCACTAAGTTTACTTGCTGATATCATTTTAAAAGATAGTGAAACTAATACCCCCAAATACAAATTGTACAATTAGGCTAGTTGAATTCTTCTCTTGGTTCTTGGATGGTGCAACAAACTGGTCTGAATCAAATGAAATTGCAGCCATCACGAGATAATATTTACAACAACTGTGTGAAGAAACAAACTTTGGACTATCTTTTCATATGCAAAAAACGTTAAGGAATCAGACTCGCAGATTAGCCCCCAGATCCATCAGATGGACCAAGAGTAGCTTTCTCAGAGTAAAAGTTCCGAGAAGTGGGAATCTTAACTTTTCAGTCCCTTTGGTATTAGCAGAAACTAAGATCCTCTCCCCTTTTGCAGAACCTGGGGAATGGTCACACTCAAACCCCTTACATTGCCCCGACATACGCTGGCAAATTCTGACTGAGTATTAGCACTAAAATGTTATGAGGTGGAGGAAAATCCTGGCCTTATCAACACCAATTCCTGTCATCCAAGGGTTCTAAAACAGAGGAAACAGGAGAGCTGATGGGGCATTTGACAAAACTATCAAGACCAGAAGTTCCTTCAGTTCATAGAGTCAGAGAGTCCTACAGCACGGAGACAGGCCCTTCGGCCCAAACTGGTCCGTGCCGTCCAAAATGCCCATCCATGCTAACCTCAATTCCCTGCGCTTGGCCCATATCCTTCTAAACTTTTCCTATCCATGTATTTGTCCAAATGCTTTTAATTTTGTTAATGTACTCGCCTCAACCACTACCGCTGGCAGCTCATTCCATATGCATACCACCATCTGTGTAAAAAAGTTGCCCCTCAGGTTCCCATGAATTCTTTCCCCTCTTACCTTAAACTGATGTCCTCTAGTGCTCGATTCCCCAACCTTGAGAAAAAGACAGAGCATTCACCCTATCCATGCCTCTCATGATCTTATACACTTCTATAAGATTCCCCCCTCAGTCTCCTATGCTCTGAAGAAAAAAGTCCTAGCTTGTCCAACCTCTCCCTATAACTCAGTCCCTCAAATCCTGCAACATCCTTGTAAATTTTTCTGCACTCTTTCCAGTCTAATAACATACTTCCTATAGCAAGGTGACCAAAACTGAACACAATCCTCCAAGTGCGGCCTCACCAACGTCATGTACAACTGCATAACTTCCCAACTTCTATACTCAACACCCTGACTGATGAAGGCCAGTGTGCCAAAAGCCTTTTTCACTGCCCTGTCCACCTGTGACTCCATTTGCAGAGAACCACGCACCTGAACTCCAAGGTCCCCTCTTCCACTATATACCTTTAGGCCCTACCACTCACCATGAAACTCCTACCTGGATTTTACTTTCCAAAATGCAACTCCTCACACTTATCTATATTAAACTCCATTTGCCATTTCTCGGCCCACTTCCCCACCCAATCAAGATCCTGCTGCAATTTCGGATAACCTTCCTCACTGTCCACGATACTGCCTATTTTAGTGTCATCCACAAACTTACTAATCATGCCCTGTACATTCTCATCCAAATCATTGATATAGATAATAAACAGCAATGGGACCAGCACGGACCCCTGAGGCCCACCACTAGTCACAGGCCTGCGGTCAGACAAGCATTCTTCCAGTATTACCCTCTGCCTCCTACCAACAAGCCAATTGTGTATCCAATTTGCCAGATCTCCCTGGATTCCATGTGATCTAACCTTCACAGCAGCCTACCATGTGGAACCTTATCAAAGGCCTTCGTGAAATCCATACAGACTACATCTACTGCCCTGCCCTCATCAACCTTCCTGGTCACTTCATCAAGGAACTCTAACAAATTTGAGGCATGATCTCCCACACACAAAGCCATGCTGACTACTCCTAATCAAACCCTGTCTTTCCAAATGCACGTATATCTTATCCATCAGAATCTTTCCAAGTAACTTACCAGCTTACTGGTCTATAAATTCCCAGATTTTTCTTTGCGGCCCTTCTTGAACAAGGGCACAACATTCGCTACCCTCCAGTCTTCCAGGACTTCACCCGCTGCTAACAATGATGCAAATGTATCAGCCAGGGTCCCCATAATTTCTTTCTTAGCCTCTTGCAGGGTTCTTGGATATATCTGGTCAGGACCAGGAGATTTATCCACCTTCATACATTCTAAGAAATAGCAGGAACTGCAGATGCTGGAGAATCCGAGGCAACAAGGTGCAGAGCTGGATGAACACAGTAGGCCAAGCAGCATCAGAGGAGCAGGAAGGCTGATGTTTCAGGCCGAGACCCTTCATCAGAAATGGGGGAGGGGAAGGGGGTTCTGAAATAAATAGGGAGAGAGGGGGAGGCGGATAGAAGATGGATAGAGGAGAAGATAGGTGGAGAGGAAACAGACAGGTTGAAGAGGCGGGGATGGAGACAGTAAAGGTGAGTGTAGGTGGGGAGTTAGGGAGGGGATAGGTCAGTCCAGGGAGGACGGACAGGTCAAGGGGGCGGGATGAGGTTAGTAGGTAGGAGATGGGGGTGCGGCTTGAGGTGGGAGGAGGGGATAGGTGGGAGGAAGAACAGGTTAGGGAGGCGGGGACGAGCTGGGCTGGTTTTGGGATGTGGTTGGGGGAGGGGAGATTTTGAAGCTTGTGAAATCCATATTGATACCATTGGGCTGCAGGGTTCCCAAGCTGAATATGAGTTGCTGTTCCTGCAACCTTCAGGTGGCATTGTTGTGGCACTGCAGGAGGCCCAGGATGGACATGTCGTCTGAGAAATGGAAGGGGGAGTTGAAGTGGTTCGCGACTGGGAGGTGCAGTTGTTTATTGCGAACTTCATACATTCTAATACTTCCAATGCCTCCTGCACTGTGATATGGACTGTCCCCAAGATATTGCCACTAACTTCCCAAGTCTTCATGTTTTCATGTCTTTCTCCACTGTAAACATAGAGGAGAAGTATTCATTGAGGACCTCACCCATCTCTTCGGTTCCACATATACATGTCCACTTTGGTCCTTGAAGGGTCCTATTCTCTCTGCAGTTATTCTTTTTCTTTTAACATACTTAAAGAATCTCTTTAGATTCACCCTCATCTTCTCAGCCAAAGCTATCTCATGTCCCCTTTTCGCCCTCCTGATTTCCTTCTTTAGTAAACTCCTGTATTCCCTATATACCTCCAGGGATTCCCTTGATCCCAGCTGCCTGCTCCTGAGCCATGCCGCCTCCTTTTTACTCATCGAAGCCTCAATAGCCTCCCACATGCCAGAGGTCCCTTTGCCTGCAAACAAACTACCTCAATCAACCCCTGCAAGCTCCTGTCTAATTCCATCAAAATTTGCCTGGCCCCTTTTTAGAACTTGAACCTGTGGACCAGTTTTGTCTTCTTCTATAATTATTTTAAAATTAATAGAACTATGGTCACTGGTCCCAAAGTGCTGCCCCACTGTCATGTCAGTCCCCTGTCCTGCCCAATTTCCCAAGAGTAAGTCAAGTTTTGCCCCTTCCTGAGTAGGATCCTCTATATGCTGCTTAAAGAAATTTACCTGAAAACATTCAACAAATTCCACCCCATCTAAACGATTCACACTATGACAGTCCCAGTCTATGTTAGGAAAATTAAAATCCCCCACTATGACAACCCTATTGCTCCTGCAAGTCTCCCCAGTCTCCCTGCATATTTGTTCCTTTAATTCCTATTGACTATTTAGGAGCCTATAGTACAAGCCAAATAATGTCACCATCCCCTTCTTATTTCTTAGCTCCACCCACAAAGACTCACTGGACGATCCCTCAGTGATATCATCTCTGACTACTGCTGTGATACTTGCCCAAATCAAAAATGCAACTCCCCCTCCCCTCTTTCCTCCGCCTCTGTCCCGCCTAAAGCACCTGTACCTGTCACATGAAGCTCTAAGACCTGTCCCTCCCTTGGCCATGTTTCTGTAATGGCTATGATATCCCAGCCCCACGTACCTATCCACATCCTGAGTTCATCGGCCTTAATTGTCAGCCCTCTTGCATTGAAATAGGTGTAATTTAGTCCAACAGGCATTCCTCGCTCCCTGTCCTGTTCCATCCTAACCAGTCTCTTCAACTTGCTATTTCCGATTACTGCATCTCCTTCCAGCGTCGCACTTGCCTCCCTGCTGTTTAGGATTCCAACCCCCTGCCAATCTAGTTTAAACCCTCCCTTGCATCACTAGCAAATCTGCCCGCCAGGATATTGGTCCCCCTCCAGTTCAGGTGCAACACATCCCTCTTGAACAGTTGCTCTGCAGCAGCTCACAGACCTACAATTGTTGCAGTTACATACTTTGTGTTGGATGCCTCGCTTGCTCTTCCAGTTCTTGGGTCTTCTGATTGTTGCATTATACCAAACCCATTCCCAGTGTAAAGCACTCGAATTTTCAGGCCATGTTAATTGCCCAGGCTGCAGATTTTGTATGCTTCCAGTAATGAAAAGGTTAATCAGATTGCCCTCAAGTCACTTCAGATTGACTTTTCAATTTGACATGAAGTACTTGGATCTAAAGTGCCACAGCAGGGCTGACCCTACAGAAGTGGTTGGTTTGAGCATTAAGATATGCAATTTAACATATGCAATTGTGCAGTGATTCCGAAAATCTCAGTGAACAGTGCGGGATGAGAATCAGTTCTGTCAAAGGAAACATCGAGGCAGACATCACCTTCCATCATTACCAATGATACAAAATCAAAGACTGCTTTACAATCGATGTGCCATATAATAGCTACTCTCCCAAGAGAGAAACTAATCAATAAAATATACAAAAAAGAGGC